TGAGGGTGCGACTTTTTACCATAAACTGTTTTTCTACAACGGTCCGACATGACCCCATAAACTGTTTTTCTACAACGGTCCGACATGACCCCATAAACTGTTTTTCTACAACGGTCCGACATGACCCCATAAACTGTTTTTCTACAACGGTCCGACATGACCCCATAAACTGTTTTTCTACAACGGTCCGACATGACCCCATAAACTGTTTTTCTACAACGGTCCGACATGACCCCATAAACTGTTTTTCTACAACGGTCCGACATGACCCCATAAACTGTTTTTCTACAACGGTCCGACATGACCCCATAAACTGTTTTTCTACAACGGTCCGACATGACCCCATAAACTGTTTTTCTACAACGGTCCGACATGACCCCATAAACTGTTTTTCTACAACGGTCCGACATGACCCCATAAACTGTTTTTCTACAACGGTCCGACATGACCCCATAAACTGTTTTTCTACAACGGTCCGACATGACCCCATAAACTGTTTTTCTACAACGGTCCGACATGACCCCATAAACTGTTTTTCTACAACGGTCCGACATGACCCCATAAACTGTCTTCTACATCGGTCTGACACCACCATACAGTGTCCTTTACAACGTTATGACACCCCATACAGTGTCTTCACCAACGGTCTGACACGACCATACAGTGTCTCCTATCCTTTTTTATTTTTATGTATTTTCTTGTTTTGTTACTCTCTCCAAACTCAAGTTGGTTAGTTTCTCTCCTCCTTGAGTTTGCGGGGAGCTGTTAGAATTTCCCATCTTTACCTTCACCTACTCCACTACACACTCCACTTCACCTACCTCCACTTCACCACATACTCCAGTTCACCTACCTATATAATGCCACTCTGATTTGTAATACAATACATCAATACAACAATCTTGTAACATCTATCTCAATCAATAATACATATATTTTTACATCGACACTGACGACGCGGCCGACACGCCACTCTGTCGTTTACGTGCCTCGCCGCGTCTTCGGCTCACCTTTTGATGGCTCGACGCTTTCTGTCGGGCACACCTTTTGATGAAGTGGGCGCGCCTTTTGAGGGCGTAACTTTTGATGGCACGCCTTTTTATGGATTGGACACGCATTTTGATGGCACGTTTTTTTTATGGATTGGGCACGCCTTTTGATGGCACGCCTTTTAAAAGATTGGGCACACCTTTTGAGGATGCGATTTTGTAAGGGGTCCGACAAGACTCTATAAACTGTCCCGACATTTGATACCGGTTAGCTTTTTCACGGGTCCGACAAGACTCTGTAAACTGTCCCGACATTGATTCCGGTTAGCTCCTTTATGGGTCCGACAAGACTCTGTAAACTGTGTCTTCTACAACGGTCCGCCATGACCCCATAAACTGTCTTCTACAACGGTCCGACATGACCCCATAAACTGTCTTCTACATCGGTCTGACACCACCATCCAGTGTCCTCTACACCGTTATGACACCCCTATACAGTGTCCTCTACAACGTTATGACACCACCATCCAGTGTCTTCACCAATGGTCTGACACGACCATACAGTGTCTCCTATCCTTTTTTTTATGTATTTTCTTGTTTTGTTACTCTCTCCAAACTCAAGTTGGTTAGTTTCTCTCCTCCTTGAGTTTGCGGGGGGCTGTTAGAATTTCCCATCTTTACCTTCACCTACTCCACTACACACTCCACTTCACCTACCTCCACTTCACCACACACTCCACTTCACCTAACCCACTATCACCTCCACTACACCTACTACCACATTTTCTTCTATATATAGATTGTATAGGAATTGTAATTTATAATCTTGTAGTATCAATCAATCAATAATACATGAGTTTTAACAGAAGTATATTTAAATAATTTCAATTTCAATTTCGACTTCCATTGTTGGTCGATAACTGAAGGTGTTGAGAGTAATAGACTAGATACACATTCCAATCCAAAATGTGGTCAGTGAAATAGGCTCAGCCTATCATACTCCATCAGTCCATCTACATTACCTTGACCCTTCTCCATGGTAACCTAATGCATTCTATACCACCCTAGGTTGAGAGCAGGGCCTTGGGATTTCCATTAGCATGCTATCTCATCATGAGATAACTAGAACATTATTTGAAACCCACCCACATGACCTCAGATCATGTGGCCTAAAGGCTGGAGCTAAAGGTTTTCAAAAGTGCATTCTCTCACTAAATGACTTATACCTTAGCTAGTCATATGGATAGTCAGACAGATAGATATATGTATATATATAGGGAGAGAGAGAGAGAGTGTCTTCGCTATGGTGGATGTTGCCCCCACTAACAAGTCTCGTGTCTGGTATGAGCTGCCATTTGATGTGGTATACATGAATAGAGAGAAATTGACAAAACTTTTTAGTACATGGGGATGAAGTACATAGGCTTAAGAAGAACTTACTACATTTGCTTAAATTTTGGATCGAATGATTTTTTTTACGATTATTCCTTTTCTTATATAAACCACCTATGTACAAATGATGCTCCCCTTTCTGGTGCCTTTATGAATACATATTTACTCATCAAATAAAAATAAATAAACAAAAGTTGCCACTTATTTCTTATATTAGCATAGGCAAGTGCCCTTGGCACATTCCACCGGTAAGTCTTTATGAACTCTCTTTTGTGCTTACATGATAAGGAAAAACATTTCATAAACAGTCCATAATAACTTACACATATAAATAGAATTAACATCTTATACATCCAGGAGCTTTCATATATGCACTCAGCCAAACAAAAAGGTTATGTACATAGGTGATCCAATATATTCACTAAGATAGAAAAAGAGGTAACAGAAGAACAAAAACAAAGTCTCGTGCGTGAGACATTCAGGCTAACTCCTCAAACTGACTTCCTCTCACATTCTTCACTAAGGCTGGGTTTGGACTTCTTTTTGCCCACCTACATGCACATAAATGAGAGTAAGCGAAAGCCCAGTGAATAATATCAAGTAAAGAAATTACATGCATGAAATTCGTAATAGACATATCATACGGCCTTAGGCCCATTCATGTTCCTATCTAGTACATCAAACGGCCTCAGGCCCAAACATATCAAATGGCCTCAGTCCCAATCCATTCATGTCAAACGGCCTTTAGCCTAATCGTTTATATTGAACGGCCTTTGGCCCAATCATTTATATCAAACGGCCTTTGGCCCAATCATTCATGTTAGATGACCTTTGATCCAATCATTTATGTCAAATGATCTTTGGCCCAATCATTCATGTCAGACGGCCTTTGGCCCAATCATTTATGTCAAATGTATCAAACGGCAAATTGCCTCGTTCAATCATTGGTACAATGAACATTTGTTCACAATTCAAAGTAGTAATTCCCTGAAGCTTATTCAAAAGTAGGCATTTAGAAAGTAACATGCTCAAAATATCCTTACTAAGATATTACTCACAGTGTTCTGCCGATGGATTTACCCTTGCCCTTGACCCTACACATTACATAACATATTAGGTCATAAGTGATTCAATCCGTTCTTAATTTATTTATTTCTCTTAGGCCTCTTCCTTATCCTTTTAGGTCATTTACAATGCTCAATGTATGCCTAAGAGTGTTTAGGAGTGAAAGAGAACGGAAAACAAAACACAAAACAACTTTCAAAATTTCTAAAACAATGCTCTCCGCTCGAGCGCAGCTTTGGTCACTCAAGCGGACCCTTTTGGTCTGTAAAAGTATTGGTTGCGTGTAAATCACACTCGAGCGAGATTCTCGACACTCAAGCGGGGAGTCGTCGCAAAATAGGGTTTGCTCGAGTGTAAAGTCTGTCGCTCGAGCCACTGTGCAACTTTTGCAAAACTTCTGGGAGCCAAATTTTCACACTCGAGCAAGACTTTCCTCACTCGAGCGGACTGGTCGAATTCTAGTTTTTCCAGAATTCTGTTTGAAGCTCAAAATACACTCCCAAAGGTCCAAAGCTTGCATATTTTGTACCAAATTATGGAAAAAAAAGCAATGTCTAGCATGAAAACATGGGTAATTCAAAATCAATTAACCAAAAATCATGAACCATGTTTCGAATCATCATAATCTCTGCTTGTAATTTCAAAACTCATGCAATTAAGCCTCCAATTTTCATGAATCATGTATGCATGTAAAATATTTTCTCCAATTCTACTTCAAATGCTATAAATGATGCTCATGGTCATAAAGCTCAACAAAACTACACATGCATGAGTAATTTGACACTCAATTCTACATATTCAACATGTCTCATGCCAAATATATGGCTAACTCTCACATGCATGTACTTATTAACTTCAAATTCATTATTATCAACTCAATTCTTGTTCTTCATTATATAACTTGTTTGAATTCACTTGATTACAAACTAAAACTCATAAGTTTGAGTTCAATCACTCACCTAGGAGCTCAAATCTTCCAAATTCTAGCTAGCTCCTTGAATTAACCTTCTCAAATTCAAGCTTCTTGCTTAATTCCACAATTTTGTCTTCACCCTCTTTCTAGAACCGACCCTCCCTTTCTCTCTAGAGTGTAATTTCAACCAAGAGGAGAGAAATGAGCTCAAAACTGATTGTAAGTGTAAATAAGTCACTTTTATATACTTGCCTAATCAATTTTGATTAAGGCTAATTAATTGAGCTTAATTTAATCAGTTTAATCAAATTAATTCAGCCCAAATCAATTTTTAATTAAATTTCATGACAGGCTTTAAAAATTACGCTAATCACAATGATACAAACAATTCCAATTTTTGAAACCTCTACGGTTTTCAGTTTTCAAATTATAGCAGTAAGTTGAATAGATTTTCCTACGGTGAACAGATATAGTTTCAAAAACATGAATAATCACACAATTACCACTAAAAATCACATTAAACACATAATCACAATCATAATTAAGACTGATTAACATAGCACAAAACAGGGTTATCACAAATAATGTTTGTATGAAAAAATGGCCTATGTAAGAACCATTATCCTAGAGATTTTGTTTCAATGACAACCCTGAAAGCTGATAGATACCCTAATTATATGCGGCGCAACAGTAATGAAATAGTTAAAGTTCGAGGACACATGTTGGACAATCGATGGGTTGTTCCCTACAACCCATATCTTCTTACAAAGTTTGATTGTCACATTAATGTGGAAATTTGCTCTACTATTAAGGCTGTCAAGTACTTGTATAAATACATATACAAGGGTCATGACAAAATAGTATTCCACATAGTAGGCCAACACAGTAATGAAGATATTGATAAGATCACAATGTTTTCAATCTGCAAGATGGATATCTCCTCCAGAAGCAATGTGGAGAATATACAAATTCTTTTTTAATCAAATTAATCCTGTTGTGATAAGCTTGCAACTACACCTTGAAGATTGCCAAATTGTTAGCTTTCGAAAGATAGATAACTTGCGCTCTTTAGCTAACAATGAATTTCTTTCAAGAAAAATGTTGACAGAGTTTTTTGTGATAAACAGAACAAACAAAAAAGCTCAAGAAGGAAAATATTTATACAAGGAATTTCCTGAATTCTTTGTTTGGGATAGCCAACATAGAATGTGGAATGAAAGAAAGTAATGGGAGGTGATTGGAAGAATAATCATTGCAAATCCAAGAGAAGGTGAGCGATACTATTTGTGATTATTGTTGAATCATATACAGTGCCCAACTTCATTCCGCCAATTGAGAACTGTTAAAGAAGTGACATAAAGAGAAGATGCTCTTTGATATGGTCTATTAGAGGATGATGAAACTCATGAAAAGTGCTTAGAAGAAGCAAGTACTTTTCAAATGCCTTCTTCATTACAACAATTGTTCACAACAATACTTGTGTATTGTAGTCCACGTGATCCAAAAGCTTTATTCTTAAAATTTGAAAGAACAATGCCGGAGGATTTTTGTAGAGAAGGATAATTATCTACAGAGCAAATTTGTTCTAGAGTTTTGCAGGATATAAATTCTGCTCTTGAACCCATGGGCAAGAACATTGAACAATTTTTATCTTTCAGATCTATCGGTCCCTTCTGATGAAACTGATGATTGTTGCAAAGATATAGAAAAGCGTAATATATTAGTGTCTGAGGTTGATTTTATGTCTGTGTCATTGTTAAACACAGAACAACAACTTGCATATTCTAAAATTCTTGATGCAATACTTTCTGGAAATCCAGGATATTTCTTTATTGATGTACGTAGTGGAACTGGGAAAACCTTTCTATATCGAGCAATCTTGGCTACAATAAGAACGCACAAATTGATCGCTCTCGCAACTATAACTTCAGGAGTTGCTGTATCACTTTTGCCTAATGGGCGCACTGTGCACTCATGGTTCAAAATTCCTATAGATGTTGAAAGCAAAATTTGTTGTAATGTCAGCAAACAAAGTGGCCTGGCAAAACTTTTGAAACTTACTGCACTTATAATATGGGATGAAGCATCGATGGCAAAATGACAAAGTATTGAAGCACTTGATGAATTGTTAAAAGATGTCATAGATATAGCAATCTTCTAGTTGGAGGAAAGGTTGTAGTATTCGGTAGTGACTTTCGTCAAGTGCTACCTGTTGTGCCAAAGAGCAGAAAAAATGAATGCATTAATGCTACGCTTGTTATGTCTTACATTTGGCATTCATTAGAGAAGATCAAATTGACAGAAAATATGCAGGCTAAGCATGATCCAGCATTTAGTAATTTTTTGCTTTCTGTAGGAAATGGCACAGAACAACAAATATCTCCTGAAACTATCAGAATCCCTAAAGTGATGCTTTTTCCTTACAATAAAAACATTGATCCACTTCAAGAGCTTATCGCTTTTGTCTTCTCAAATTTCAATGATTATAATGAAGATCCACTTTCAATGATGAATCGGGCTATCTTGACTCCGAAAAATGACAATATAGATCACATCAATGAAATATTGATGGAAGAATTCCCTGGAGATGAACGCATATATAACAACATTGATGAGACTATAGAATAAAGATGCACTATAAAAAAAAGTATCATGCCAAAATTAAGCAAGAAGAAGAAAAACAAATAAAACAATACAATGAATGTAGAATAAAGATCAAAGATCAAAACTCCCAAAACAAGCAAACAAACAAACAAACAAGTAAAATAAAATGTTAATAATAGACATTTAAAAATTTGCAACAAAATTTTGTAACTTTCCTCTTTGTTAAGAAAATTCTATTTAGTACTAATTAAATAAAATCCTTTTAAAATAGTTTTTTTTTTTTAAATTTGAAATTAAAGCTATAGTAAATTTATGTAAGAATAATTGTTAATCACATTTTTTTTACTTAATGTATAATATTATATTGATTAACTTTTTTTAGGTTTATTTTTTTAAGTATTTGTATAGAAGTAAAAAAATATCATTAGGAATAAATTTTTCCTTAATTTAGTTATAAATTTTGCCCGTATATTATTTTTAAACTTTGAATAAAAGTAAATATAAAATAATTAATTGAAAATATACTACATTTATTATATTCTTTTTCTGTGTGTACAAAAAAAAATTTAAAAATTATAATTCATATATATATATAAATAATTATAAACACAATCCGTATTATCCACGGATGAAACACTAGTAAATTTTATGCATATGAAAGGACATAGCGGCAAATCCATGGACAAGAATAGTTGTTGTCTTCTGGAGGCCCCCGGATAATACATTTTCCACCAAACCAAACTAGTACAACATCGAGGAAATGAATGGGGTGGGCGTGGGATGTTCTGAAAATCCTATAAAGGCCGTCAAGGCATACACTTTCTCTCACTATTTACTTCCAACCCCTTCAACAAATTTTTTATTTTTTTTTCCTTTTCTTTTCTATTCTCTTCTCTTGTCACTTTCTCAGGTGTTAGGACATCTCTTTTCTTTTCTTTTTCTCTTATTTATTTATTTATTTTTTAGATAAATTACGTTCAAAGTTGCTTAAGGTTTAGAAATAATATAGTTGAGCCTACACTTGTGATATAATTATATCAATCTATTTTAAGATTTTTAACTCACAAAATAATTTAGTCATTTTTTATCAGTAATTTGTTAATTATATGAATGAAAAAATAATATTTTGTCTTCTATTTTACATAAAAATATATATTTTAAGTTATTTATTTTTATATTTTTGCACTATTGTATTAGTTTTGGTTCATTTAACCTTATTAAAAGGAGTCATTGTAATTATATTAAAATTATGAGACTTTATTTTTATCAAACATCAAGGGAGGTAAGTGTAATTTACCCTTAATGTTAAAATTAATTTTAACATGTTATATAGCTAAATGTTTTATCTTGGAAAGTTTTTTTAAATGGTGGAATTATCGTATATTATATTTTCTTATAAAATAACAAATATAAATATTATTTTGTAAGTTGTATTAAGAAAGATGTAAACAGAAATTTTTTTACGAATCTTACGAGAGAATTTTGCAATAATACAATTTGACAAGAAGAATGACAAACTAATAGAGATGATTTTTTTAAGAGATTTTGCTAAATTCTAATTTCAACAATTACTTTAGGACATTTTTAAAAAATAATGAATTAAACATCATGCCCCACATATTATAATAATGAATCAGGGTGGAATTTGAAAATTATTGACAAATTATAAAATACACCCCATGCAAGCATAGTTACTAGATGATGACATGCCTCTGCAGTAATTAGGAAGAATTGAATCTACATCCTCTAAAATTGATTAGGAACTTAAAGATGTTATACATGATTATGCTAGTAAATTTAAAAGTGAAGGGGGAAAAGAGTGGTAAAAGAAAGAAGACAAAAAGTCTAGGCATCGCACTTAGGGTTAGGAATGCATCACGCAATCTGAAAGAAGCTTCAAAAGCTCTGGTTATTCTCTAAAACTGAACTGTATTGAATGAGAGTCATTACATGGTTTTAGGCTTTACAGAACTCCTTGGCCTAATTTTGTGTAAACTATCTAATTTTGTGTAATTGAGCTGTTCATGTTCCGGGGAAAATGCAACCGGAAGCACAGGAATTTAAAATTTCAATCTTTTGTTTGTTTCTGGTTTTTTTTCTCACAACCAAACACAGTGTAGTTGAAGTTTATTTTGGCTCTGTGTTCGTAAAATGATGGATTTATTTACAGATACTTAGTACTAACTTCCAATCAGGGGAATTTATCACTGCTCATTAGTTGCAAATGATTATTGTAATTTAGATTGTAAATGATTATTTGCAGCAGCAGTTTTTCAATTCTAAGTCTAATTTTGTGGACAAAGATATTTTTTTTTAATATTTAATTTTCGTTCTATTTTTCATGTGGAACATCATAGATTTTTAATCTCCTATTTGACGATATTAATGTATGATCAGTAGTATTGGGTGCCTATGAGGTAGATGCCAGAGTTTGGTGTATATTTTATATGATATTTTACTTGTAATTGAGGGTATAATTCTGGTTTCTACCTTCCTAATTGTTTCCACAATAATCTGCTTGATGTATTGTTCTGAAAACAGTCATTGGTGACCTTTACAGCCCGTGTTTTGAAATTACCAAAATACTTATGAAATAATAGAAATCCTGTAAGGAAACAACCATATTAATACAATGTATAAAAAAAAAAACTAATAATTGTTAATTAAACATATTCAGATTTATACATTTATCACTAATTCGTATAAAGGAACAATGTAAAAACAAAATGTTATCTTCAGATCAAGTTTATCTTCAGATCAAGTTTATCTTCAGATCAAGTATATCTTCAGATCAAGTTTATCTTCAGATCAAGTATATCTTCAAAACAAAACTAATAGTTGCATTTTGATGAATGACAGAAAAATAAAATCAATATATACATATAAAATCAACACAACAGAGCATAAATTTCTGTTTATCTTCAGATCAAGTATACTTATTAATATCTTCATTAATAAACAGAGCAGAATGTGCTTCGAGAGAGAGAGAGATGACAGATAAGGGAGAAAGCAAGCCAAGGGCAAGATGGAAGAGAAAATTTCAGACGGAGAGGGTGAATCGAAGGAAGAAGATGCAATCTGTCTGTAAACCCTAGCTGAAATGTGTGTGTGTGTATATATATATATATCACAAACAAAAGCCAAGAAGATGCGATCTTACCTTTCATAGTGCAGATCTTGGAGAAATCTTCGAGAAATTTCGACTTCGATCGGCTGATCTTCGAGAGATACGAAGGCACGTCTTCGTCGCCAAGAGGAACTGAGAATACGAGTGTGAGGAGAGGAGTGGGCTAGGGCACGACGAAAGAGGGCTTATATCATGGCATAACTGTAATTGTTGAAGTTTTGGAGGGGCATTTAAGTCATTTCATGCCCCTCTAAACAGCTGCGCGCTTAATCTGAAATCAGAAGCATCTCCGGAGCAACTTCGCGAAAATGGCTTAAAATGAATTTTTTTAAGCTATAATTTGCACCTTTAATTTTTACCAAACAGATCAGAATGGCTTAATTTAAGCTATAAGTTGAAATAAGCTGAAGTTAATTTTTACCAAACAGGCACTTTGTTATGTTCAAATTGACCTACTTCTTCATGCATTGCATTGACCCAACTATCATCTAGTAGGGCCACTTTTATATTCTTAGGTTCAATTAATGAAACATAACACATATGAGATACCTTCTCCCAAATTTGTTTTCGGTTTTCATTCGGTTTGAGACATTTCCAATCACCTGTTGAACCGGATGATTAAGTTTTACTCTTGCTGATGGCTTCAAACCAGAACTGGTAGTGATTTAAGCATCGGTGGTGATGTCTCTTTGTGCACTTTTTGAACTAGGACTTGCCATAGGGGTTGGTGCTGGTTTACCTTCTTGAGCTTGGCCTGGTGCCTCTCCTTGACTTTGTGGCTCAGTATCCAGAATTTGAGGATTACCATCTTCCTCCTCATGTATAAATGCAGTATGAGAACATATTTCATCTACAACCACATTGATCGATTCCATTAAAGCTAAAGTAAGCAGGTTATAGACGCAAAAAGCTCTACTAGTAGTTGAATACCCTAGAAAAATACCTTCATCACTTTGGGAGTCGAATTTCCCCAAAGACTCTCTATCTTTGAAAATATAACATTTACTTCCAAAAGTTTTGAAGTATTTGACATTAGGTTTCAACCCTTTCCATAATTCATATGGAGTTTGTAAAGTGTCAGGCCTTAAATACAAACGATTCACTACGTAAACAGCGGTATTTAAGGCTTTAGCCCAAAACTTGGGAGGAACTTTTTTGCTAAGGAGCATGACCCTAGCCATCTCTTAAACTACCCTATTTTTCCTCTCAACAACTCCATTTTGCTATGGAGTAATAGGTGTAGAAAATTCATGCTTAATTCCATGCATATCACAAAAATCCGAGAGCGAGCTATTTTCAAATTCACGACCATGATCAGTTCGGATTCTTATGATACGTCCAATAGAAACACCTTGTTCATTCTGGATTTTCAGGACTAATGACTTGAAAACATCAAACGTATTAGATTTTTCTCTTAAAACATTTACCCAAAAAAAACAAGTGTAATCATCAATAGTTAAAAAATATATATCTTTTACCTCCAATGCTTTCAGTATGAATGGGTTCCATAAGATCCATATAAAAAAGTTCAAGAGGTCGCTTGGTTGTTAATCTATTCACCTTTTTGTGAGGGGCACACGTTTGCTTCCCTAATTGACATGGCCCACACACATGGTTCACATTCTTACCCATTTTGGGTACTCCTCTCACAATCTCCTTGTTGGCAATCTTAGTTAGGTCTTTGAAATTCATATGACCTAATCTTTGATGCTACAAGTCAAGATTACTTATGATAGCCGAATGACAAGTGAGATCATTTGTAGTAACAATCCCATAGCAGTTATCAGATGTGTGAATCCCATGTATGACAGTATTTCACTTTTTATCCAAAATTTCACATTTATTTTTGAAAATAATACTTTATGATGAGAATCACACATTTGACTAATGCTCAAAA